CTTAAAGCAAGTTTGTTTGGAGTGTTGGAGCCATGGAACACTGGTTCCATGACCAGGCTGTCAATGACAGCATACCACAATCACCGTGGAATTAGGTGCTCCAGCAATTAGTCTCTACACTCCAAACTGCTCACACTAAGCACAGATAACTGGTCTAAACTTCCTTGCTATAAAGATCCATTGGGAATGTATGGCCCTGGAATCATAAAATTCTGGAAACATAAAGCACTGCAGCACATCAAGTCCTGTCCTTCCCTCCTAGCACCACACTGGTGGCTCATCTATCACCATAAGGATAGAATGTAACTCTGTTCAATTTCCCTGGTTTTAGTGGGTAGGGTATTTCCCTGAGAAGTCTGAACACAGTACCTTTTAATGATGATAAACTTGCCACTGCAGAGCTTCTGTTGGATCTTGCTGTAGCTGCCAAAGTGCCTCTATGAGTTCTCACCACTTTAACCTTAATTTACAAGCAGACTACTACTGAACAGTGAAACTGAAAGGCCTTGATCTTTTCATTTCTACGTGCATAAGAGAAACATTCACTTCAGAGGTAAGATTCCAAGTAGAGAAAATAATTTCCAAGAGTGCTTGCACTGGTAATCCTGTCCTTGTTGTCTGGAATAAAAAATCTTTGTAAATATCTTGAGTGTACATGGTCTTTTTGACTATTAAGTACCAGTGTCAATTGCCTTGAAGTAAAATACAAATCCATGCACACAAAGATAGTGTCTCACTCTTTATATGGTGGTATGGTAATGGATTCAACTCTCACTGTGGTGATATTCAGAAATAAAAGGAAAAAAAAGAAATGAAAGAAAAGAGAAGGGGGAGAAAAAAAAAGAGAAGGGGGAGAAAAAAAGAGAAGGGGGAGAAAAAAAAAGAGAAGGGGGAGAAAAAAAAAAGAGAAGGGGGAGAAAAAAAAGAAAAGGGGGAGAAAAAAAGAAAAGGGGGAAGAGTGAAAAGAAAAAGGATGAGAAGATGAAAAGGAAAAGCAAAACGAAGAAGAAACATGCATAGGGACAAATAGGTAATTAGTGTCTAAAAGACATATTTCAGGATATATGACAATTTTAGCTAGGGTTTATGAAGATCTAATGTCCATGGATGAGTAAGTGTTTCTATGAGAATTCTCAGACATTCCTGCACTCAGTCTGTTTGCCTGAGATTGATATTGGCTTATATACATAAAAGATATGATCTGCAAGTCTGTACCCTTATTATTTCTGCTACCACTGTATCACACTGTTTGATGGAAACATTTCTATTCTTATTTAATCACCACTATTATCACTCTGTAACAGATTGAGCTGGATTGTGCTGCAGTGCAGCTGAACAGTAAAATCAACTAATAATAAACGCAAAGTGAAAGAGTGAGCACAAATATCTTCTTACAGTATTGTAATTAAATTCTGGAAGAGCTAGTAATTTTAACAGTACAGCCTGCATTTTTTTTCATTTACCAAGGAAATTAAAATCAAACAGACAAGCTTATTCAAGGTTGACTTCTGCCTGCTTTACTCTGCAGTTTTGACAGCCATTTATAATCCGTAGAGACTGAGCGGGTGAAGTGTCAAATATTGAGACAAGATTAGAATGTAGTAAAAGCCACATGTCCTAGTTTGAACTTTAGATTTTGCCAGCACTGCAGAATCTCGTAACCGCCTTGTTAATACTTAGACTACTGCTCTAAGTTCCTGGAGCAGGTGCAGCTATCAAGATGGCAGTGGGCGGGTTCATGTGAGGGCACCTCTGGGAAAAGATATGTAACAAAGGGTAAGAAAGGATAAGAAAACAGAGGAGGGTGGAAGAAAATAAGGGAAAAAACAGCAAAGTGACCACCATGGTTGGAGGAGGAGGAGGTGCTCCATGGTGGAGCAGATACCCACACTGCAATCCTTGGAGGACCCATGTCAAAGGAGGTGAATATTTCCTGAGGTAATGGTGGTCCATGAAGAGTCTACTTCAGGGCAGTGGAAAAGCGTGAAGGGAAAGAAGCAGAGAGAAAACACTGCTTACTGGCCATAAGACCCTCTTATGTCTGTTCGTGCTGTTTGGGGGAAGGAAGATATTTTTGGGAGGAATTTCCCCAAGTCAAGTCTGTTTTGTCAATGATAACAAGTGGTAAGAGATCTTCATTCCTTTATCTTGATCCACAAATTGTCTCATCCTATTTTCTCCCCAGTCATGCAAGGAGGTGAGATAGGTGCTTCATCCTTATCCAGAGCTCTCCTATCACAGCCCTTTAGTCACAGACAGGATGAAACCCTGTTCTTTTTTGTGACTTTTAAAAATAGATATATTCAGCAATTCTAAACTCTGTAATTATGTGCAGGTGTGTATACACAAACATAGCTGCCATTAAGTACATGCATTATGGAAGGGAATCCAAAAATGCACCCTTAAGAAAAAGAGATAGGAAAAAAACAAAACAAGAGATGATCAAGATTAGGATGATAAAGCTTGATTTCTCTAAACAGATTGCAATATAATGTTAATGTCCAGATATTGATACTTGTTGGATTGACAATTCCAAGCTTTTTATTCTAAAAATTAATCATTTGCAGTTATGGGTCAGATACTGCAACAAACATGTAACTGAAATATAACAGTTTGTGACTGTGGTTAAAGCTGCAAAACAGTACTTAGATTACTGACATACAATAAAAGATTTTAGGAAAAGAAAAGGGAAAACAAACTTACTAATTCTTGTTGGTAGTTTCTGCCTCTCACCCATCACCTTACAGAACTATGTCCATTCCAGTGAAGGAAAGACAGCACTGCAGCAATTATGGTAGTAACTTACTTGTTTGAAAGGCTTCTTAACATAGCTTCTACATTAGAGCAGCTGAACTCATAAAGACAAACATAAATAATTCCTCTTCAAACTGTTTAGGTTACAACATGGCATCTTAGAGGTCAACAGGAATGCTGTAATAGGTCTCAATTTCTGAGAATTGTTTAAGACGTTGGTATAAAAACTCATAAAAATTAGGTGCTAGATATTATTCAAGTGGCACAATTCCTCAACTGTGACTTGAGAAATTTGCTTAGCCATCCATTTAAAAGCAAAAGAAATATGTTTGTATTCCTCCTAAACTACATTATAAATCAAATCCCCATGAGTGTTCACGTCCTTGATACCAGTTCTCTGGCATCTTTTTATTTTGTGCAGAAAAGACTGACTTTCCCTTGAAGTAAATTTTATTTTTCACTTCATTATTCAACAGCACCACCTTTACTCCATTTTTTTCTGTTATGCCAGTAACAAATAGCAATCAAGCATGACATTACATGAGAACTAACTTTTGCAATTAAGTAATAACAATACCTCTGGAACCTCACTCCAAGGATTTAAAAACATTTGAAAATATTGTTTCATTATACTTTAGATTAATTCCCTACCTCACTTGAAAGGCAACTGAAATGCAGAGTAATTACATTTTCTTAAGAAACACGTCCTGGTTATTTACAAGAGGAAGAAGGAGAAATTAAGAAATCTTACATTCTCGCTTTCTTGGTTCCATTGCCAAACCACCTTTCCTCATTGTTTTACTACGTGATGACCGAATTGCCTTTCTCATGTGCAAGTTCCACTTCTTTATATGAAAGTTCTTTCAGCTTTTTCTCATGGGAAATTGTGGAAAATGCAAAGATGGTAAAGAAGTGAGGATTAACTGCACCCGAGCCTTCAGAGATAGTAGCAATGCATATCCCTCTAATTAAGGGGAGAGTGGAAAGCTGAATCTTTCATTTTCTTGTCTCTGTTAAAATGGATCACAATGACAGAACCAGTGGAACAACACATTACGTTTTCCGCATTCCAATGTCTGACAGCCCTCACCACAAGAAAGTCTCTTCTGGTAGTCAGATGAATTTTTTGATGTGCTTTAATTTGTGTGCGCTGCCTCCTACCCTGCCAGCGGGCAGGGCTGAAAAGAGCCTGGCTCCTTCATCTTCATTCCCTACCATCAGGTGTTTAGACAGACTGATAAGATTGCCTCTGAGATTTCTCCCGACAGAACAATCCCACAGCATTCCCAATTTAAGGCTCGGTACGCCAGCTTAGTGTACTGCTCTTCAGTTGCAGTCAATAATTGGACACAAAACAGAAACTGGACTTCATCTTGACTCACATGTCTGAGGCTTGGGAAAGTAAGCATGTTCTGCTTCAAAAGGCCAAAAAATAATAATAATTTGGAACATGAGTAGAAAGATTTTCTGCTGTTGTAGTAAGTCACTTACTTGACAAGAACAGTGTTAAGTAAGATATAAAACGAGCTTAAATATTAAGTAAACACTGAACATAAATACAGGCATAGACATTCTAGATTATATGTCAAATTCAAATTGCATTTACTTTATCACAAATTCTGAAATATTCTTTCTTTATGGATTTATACATTGGATCTATTTGAGAATAACTGAAAGGAGCAAAGTAATAGTTGTTAATTAAACTTTGAAGTGTAAATTTTGAAAGTTTGCACAAATCCTGGATTCCCAAATTGCGCGTATTATCAGGTTCACGAGGAAGCATTTTAGCAACACATGTACTACTCAACAGCAAAATTTTACTATAAAAATTCAATATGTCAAATTGTCACCATGAAACGCACTCTAAACTCAGAAAAGGTCTTTTACAATACTTAAAAATAAACAAATATGCAGTGCCCCAGTTTAAAGCATTTTTTAAAAAAGGTCATTTCCTACAAGGACAATAGCAAAAAACTCAGAAAAGCCAACCAAATAGTAATGCAGACCTCTCAGAGGATCCATCTTTATGGGGGAAAGAGAGTATCTTTAACGTAGGCAGACAATCACTGCAGTGGCATTTTCTGATTTTCATATAAATGAGAACAATTTACAGTAAGTTAGCAGGGACAAAACCATGTGCTCAGAGGCCTGAAGACGCATGTTACTCTCAGAGCGACTTGGGAAAATTTGGATATGTCATTTAAAAGAAACTATTAACTTCTAGATTGGATTCCTTTAATACCTACCAAAAGCTGTCCAGCAAAGCAGATAAATAAAATGAAAGCGAGCAAGAGAAATGCGGCCCCAAATGAAATTCCAAGAATAGATGTTCTGCAAGAAAGAAGAAAACATATATTAATGTCTAATGTACACATTTGTAGCACGGCCTTTCTTTGTCTACAATGCAGATAATGATACAAAAATTCCCATGTGTAGGCTGCAACTCCAAACATCAAAACCATGGAAAAAACATTTCAGTTCTTACTAGAATGACATGCATTTTTCCCACTTTTTTCTTTTTTTTTAATCTCCCACATATCAAAGAACAGCTTTCAAAATATTATTATTAACATTAAAGCTATACTTTCCTTTTTTACAGTTTTTGTGAAAGAATGCTCACATCAGTATTCTCTATCACTTTGCAAAACTATTATGATAGTAGTAATTTTCATACAGATAATTTAACTGGTAGAGTTGCATTAATAGCATTAAGGTTAGTTTGTTTTACTTTAAAAACTGTGTTAAAGAAGAACCTTAATGCTGCATTTTTTTGTTGATGATGTTGATTCTAGATAGAAGAGTCTGCTAAATTTGTAAGATAAATTTGTTAGGTGTTAGGGGTGAAACTCCTCCCTGAAGGCTGGAAAAGCAGTAGTACAGGGGAATGATATCCAGTTTTCTGTGTCTTGTAGCTAGAAACTGTGGCATCTGTGACACCTTTGATGCTACATCCTGTTAGCTCATTTCCCAAATAAGTAGGAATTCAACACCTTTGAAAACTCCATTTTGTACCAAATCTGACTGGTTGGCCAGTTCTGAAGTATCAAAGGACAGGCAGCATGATAGGATAGAAGACAACACCACGAAGAAAAGAAAAACAAACAGGTTTATAATGAAAAAGAAAAGTCCCAAACAAACAACAACAGCTCAACAAATAAACATGTAACTGAATAATCTAGACCTGAAATCATCCTTACTCAGCATCCTAACTTACCCTTTTCTTATGTACTCTTAATAGGAAAGTCTATCAAGATAGCACTGGGACTCAGTAACCAGAAATAGGGATGCAGAAAAAATCTGTAAATGCATACATTCTGCAAATGTTGAATATCTCTATACAAACACCACAGCACAGCATAATTGCTCCACCAGGAGCTATGTGAAAGCTACTTAGCATGGCTGCCTAGGGAAAGATGCAGTCAGACCTAATTACATTTATAATGCATGCCAAGAGGAGATGAGAAGTTCTAGACCAACTGAGTTAAGAAAGGACATCAGACATGGTCATGATGGTCTTCATCTGAGAGTCTGCTTTCAGCTTTAACCACTGATTTGACATCTTTGCAAAATTTCAAAGTATCTCTCAATCACTTTCAGCCCCAGCAAACATTTTATTTTAGCAAAACTTGAGTAGCATTTAATCATTTATTAGTTTTCTTTTAATTACTAATTTTTAATTCAGTAATATAATATTTTAAGTTAGCTCTTCCATAAACCTATGATTCAGAATTTAAAGATATTTTTATTAAAGGGTACATCCTTGTTCTTTAGAAATGACATCTGAATTCAAATATATACACTTTAGATGCTACAATACTAAAAATGAAGGAGTAGAACTCCTTGGAGGTAACTCTTAGATTATGTACAAATACTGGAAAATATTTTGACCTGTTTTAATGACAGTGTTATAGATGTTGAGCTATTTTCAGGAAAGAACAAAAAGGCATTAACTTCACAAACCAATCTGATGCCATATTGCTGCTATTAAAAGCATTTTGGAGAATAATTTATGAGCTTCCTTGCCAATCACACAGAGAACCTTTTTCATGCTAAGTATTCAACAAGTTTTTGGTTGGGGAGAACAGCTGATGAAAACAAACAACTGGCATTTACAGACCGTGTTCACCTTGAAATGATGTTTCTTTTAGAAATTATCTGAAAATCCTTATTGCTTCGGAATGCTTGTTGTCCAAGAATTTCTCATAAAGAAATATTAAATAAATAATATAAAATATTATAATTATCAGTTAAGTTTGGAGTGTTCTCTTATAGGAGACATTTAGGTGCTCCTGAGAGAAACTTGAGGGCAGAAGAAATAAAATGAACATACAGGAAGGAAAGCTTATGCAGAGAGTGCTTAACAATGGGGCAACAGACAAGAACAAAAGGTCTGAGCAGATATTCTACACAGACTGACAAAGATCGATGATGTTGTCAGAGTGGCACAGGAATAAGGATAACATTGAAAGCTGAACAAGAATGATCACTGGGGCAGAGAGAAAAGGGCCGATGATAGCTTTGTAAAAGGAAAAAGGGTATCTTAGAGACCAGAGCAACAAGTACAGAGGAAAAACAGTTCCAAGTTCTTTGCTCCCCACACCCACTTCTTTTCTGGAAACAGTAGAACTTCTTGTTTCAGTTACGCTAAGCTGAAATGATTTCATGCCGCTCCTAGAAGGAAAGAAGTGGGATGAAGATGCTATAATGGGAGGCAAAACACTAAAAATTAAGTGCCTGCATAAATAAGTCTCATTTGAGGCAATGACCATAGGGAAGTCATAACACGCACTTACTATTTTTTAATGCAACATTAAAAAAAACAGTAAACTACTCTTGCCTTTATTGTGCAGTCATAAAAAGGAATCACTGCAATGCACTGCACTGACAGATGCACACAAACTACTGTGTCACAGGAGCACTCAGGAACCCAAAAGACTTAACTTTTTACCTGCCTCTTCCTATTCTTCAGTGCCCTCATTTGTGAAATGTCTGTTCCCTGTTACAGTACCTGCTGGGGATACTGACAGGACAAACCTTGACAATAATCTACTGACGGTCAGAATCTGACCTTGAGGGAATTAAACACAAGAATTTCCTAGGCTTCAGACACTTCTAAGTCTAAATAATTCACTGTTAACAAAATTAAAAGGTGGACATATTTTTCTGGTTTTATCAAGTACAAATATGTTTTGAATAATTTATTTTTATGAGGCAGTATGAGATTGGAAAAAAATATATGTTTGTGCATAGTTCTCTCTTGTTCATAACATAAGAACTGAAAAATAAAGATTCATCATGAAGACAAATGCAGTGAAAAAATAAGAAAAGAATGTAATCATAGAGAAAAGAATGTATTCCTTCCCACTTCTGTAACTTTTAGGAAAACATGTGACCCATGGTTCACGCACCTGCATAGACACAGCTTTCCACGATACTGACATTCATGTTTTTGACTGCTTGATTGTAAATTCTTGAGTGATAAAATCATGATGAAGGAATTATACAAGACAATATTGAATTCAGATGTTTTTTGTAACTAATAGTAGCTACACTTTTTGTGATTTGACTGATGTCACTGATTGACTCAATGACTATGCAGGCTGACTGCATGGCAGTTTCTTTGTTTAGGAAAAATAATTTGAATATTGTGATTACACTACAGGGTGTTCCTTTTGTAGCTGTTTATTTCTTAATTGGATGCAGCATTTAAAAAAGGCAGTAATAATGCTTTTCTTTCTGCTGTAATGTCTCAAATTTTGTATGCCCGCTTTTTGATGAGGTTTTTAAGGACCTCCTTTTTCTGCAAAGAAATTCACCTGCGTTTAATAGGAAATACCACACCAAGACCTAACCCTCTTCCAGGGATAGGATGGATGATTGTTAGCTTGTCACGACTCAGGACAAAAGGACGTAAGTTCTTAAACACAGCAGCCTCAGAGAGAAAGAAAACTTGGGATGAATTTTAAATGTCATCCCAATCAAATTCCCTACCTGAATAGCACAATGAGTACCTCCTGTTCAATAGAAACGGATTTATATCAAGTTAGCAGAATGCATTTAAAAAAAACAACTATTAAGTTCACGTCAATTGACAGTTTCACTAAATAGAGAAGTTAGGATTCTTGTGAATCGCCACAGGTATTTCTGTCACCTCATAAGCCAAGAAGACTAAAAAGCCACTGAAGGCCAGTTCCAAGGAAATGATCTGCTATGTCGTAATGGCACAATAAAGACACCATGGCACATTCAAGTCCAAGATATTGCTCTTATTTGTAATTACTAATTTAAGTTTACTGTGAAAACATTGCACTAGTTTCTAGACCACAGGAAAAATGAAACGTTAATCAACGACTCTAGCCTTGCAAGAAATGTCTCATGATCTTGCACACACTGCTTATATTCTTGCAACATGCTGGATGTTACTCACTATCAAGCATTTCCAAATCTACTTTAAAGCGGCAGGTGGTGTACATGCACAGAAATCAATAATATTACACTGCTGTAAAGCCAGATTAATAGTGAATCCATAAAATCCAATGACAGATGAAGTTTTTCTGTCTGTCTTCATTAAATCACCATTTAAAAATTCTGCAGAGCTTTTAGAAAGAAATACTAGATACAATTTTAAACTAACCAATAATCTGTGCTGTTTTCTTCATATGTGCACATTTGTTTTTCCTGGGAGGAAATAACATCTGTAGCAGTTCAGTCTGTTTGACTGGAGTTTGAACTTTATTTCCAGTGCAGAATACCTAACTGTCAACAAGAATGGCTAACTGCCTAACATTTTCTACTGCTGTTATTACTGCTTCCTAGTTATAGACAAGTAGGCAGACACGGCTGCCCAATCTACATCTGTGCAATAATCCAGAAGAGAACTGTTTTGCACCTGATTTTTTATAGAATTTTTAAATAAATACATCTCTGTAAGCAATTCAGGTAAAATTATAATATAACAAAAGCAATTTTACTTTCCAGAAATACCCTTACATCAGTGATTTTTTTAAAGTATTTTTTTAAATCTGAAACACGCACTGAGATTTTCCAGCAGAGCTCCAGATGCTTGCATAAAACCTTGCTTTTCTTATTACAATTTTTGCTTATTTGAAATTAATTCACAGAGCCCTTGAAGCTGGACATAATTCATATGCTAATATCTGTTTTCTAACCTGCTTGAGCAAGGCAGCTGGACCAAATGATCTCCAGAGGTCCCTTCCAAACTCAGACACTGTGATTTTATACTCTTGCTCTTCTAATTTAACAAGCAGCCCTATCAGAGGACTATGAATAATTTACATTTTTTGTAATGAAAAGGACAAATTATTGTATCTTTTGTTCTGATACTAGAAAGACAGCGTATGGTTTTACAAGTTAGAGAACACTTTCCTTAGTTGAACATATTTCCCAAGTGTTCTAATTTCAAGTATCTGATACATTTTAATGAGCTACACATTTGGTTCAGTAGACTTAACAAGCATATAGTAAAATGAATATATTACTTCATATATGGTAAATAATAAAGGTACATTCATTTTTGTGACTGAAATCAAAACATAAAAACACATTTGTAAGTGATAATATTGGACGAGACTAATTAGATTCATGTTTTGTTTTTGGTATGATACCTAAATTCAGACTGAGCCACAGAAAGGATACTGCTGAACTCTTTCCTTCTAAGACTGACCCTTTGTGGCCTGTGTCTGTAAATTAGAAACTAATGGAAAACCCATTGCAAAGAAAATGCTTTAACATCCGAAAAGAAGCCTGTAAAAATTTATATGTGTTATAAAACAAGTCTGCAGGATAAAAATTCCTTTTGGCTTTGAATTAAAACACAAGTACTACAGCACGAGAGAGCAGTCCCTCATCTGAATTGTAAAAACTACTCCCACAAGCACTGTGCAGAAAAAAAAGGCTGAATACTGAATCTGAGCCTGAGATCTGAATCTGAGAGAACATGCAGTGTTTGCTTTGGAGACAACTGCTATCAAACTAACAAACACCGAGTGTCCATTATGGAAACAATTAACAGCAAAATTGCATTTTCAGAAATCTAGTAAAATATTATTTATTGGAACTGCATTCCAATTTCCTTGGGCTTTCTAGAAAATGCATAGACAGAAAGGGCAGTTGATTCTGGCTGGTATAAAAACAGATTATCTCACAATCATTCCTCTCATATAAATAAATTCTGATGGCAATAATTACTTCATCAATTGATATTTTTTAAGCTAGTTTTAAAAAGAGAAATTCTTCAAATAGTAACAATAATTGTATGTAGAACAGAGCAGTATTATCACAGCAATGTGTTAAATACAAGCAATTAATCACAGTTTCAACTCTGCAATCCCCTTTATCCCACTTTAAAGCCCAATGCTCTGGCTTATTTAACATGCAATTGTAGTCTCATAAATCCATAGTTTGTATTACTTTTCTTTGCACATATGGATTCATGTCATCATCACACATTTTTAAATAGAAAAACTAAAATCAATGAAGAATTGATACTAATATTGGAGCACCATGCAATGGCAGCGTTTAAAATTAGAAACAAGTATAAGATTGAAAATTGGCTACAATCCTCAATCTCTGTCCAAATTTTTTTCCATTAATTGATCTCTGTAATCTGAGAATTCAAAACACTTTTACTCATATATTTTTTTTTACACTAATATGCAAACAAACATAGGAATGTTTATGTTAAAATACCACTTACTTTGGCAATACCAGAATCTGCACAACGAAAATGCAGAAGAATATGAGACAGGCACAAGTCACATAGTACTTAAACGCAGGCAGAGTGGTTGCTCTGTACTGGAAAAAGAAAGAGCAAATATTACAAACGCAATTTTCAAAACAGATAAAACATCACCCAACTGAAATTCCAGTTTTAAGATGCAGATATGCACAGGCTCATTTCAGCCACAGTAAGTTTCCTGTTGTTGATAGGTTATCATCATATCCACTTACACAAGGATTATCAGGCACAGCAGTGAAGCCTTTCACTTTTCAAAGGACAGAGTAGATAGCCATGAGAAATGGTTTGGTCTTGTTCCTCCTCAGAACAGGACTATCCCATATTCATCATAAAAAAATATAATTAAAAAATAGCATCATCATAAAAATTTTAATTATAAAAGTGTAAGTATTTCTATTATTAAGTATAGCTGACCATGCTTCCACAATCTTTCTCAGTCACTAATTCCCCAAACTGTTTTTTGAGTTAACAGTAAATATTGAGTGGGCTGGAACAGATATAAGAAACTGTTCATGTCATTTATACAGGAAACTCCTGAGTACACGAATCAACAAAGTGTAAACTGCTAACAATTTGTATAAAAGTTTTTTTTTTTTTCCAATAGCAGAGCTACCTATCATATTAATATTTAGTGGCGCTACATTATTACTTCAGTGAATGTCTGTATTAAAATGCCTTACCTATCCACTGATAATAATAAAAACTTGTTATTAGGAGAGGGTTGGTTCCATCTCCCTTGTCATTAATAAAAAAAATACTATTTACAATTCTCTAATTAGTCTGTCCAGAAACACAAGAATTAAGCAGTGAAATATTTATCAGAAGAATTTTTTATAATTTGAGATTGACACATAGATTAGATTATATTATTAGAACATATAGATAATAGAATGAAATCAATTAAGCACTCAAAAGGAAATGACCTAAAGATTGGGTCTATTGAAGTTACTTAACCTATCTGTATGGTAAGTGTTGAGTCACAGCCTGAACCACTGATTGATCACCCAGGGAAAGGACCAGCCCTGGGAGCATAGGTGAAGACAGTTCACCTGTGCAACCAGAAGGCGTGGAACCTGCACCTCTCTTAGACCTCATTTAAGGGCTGACTGCCACGGGGGAAGGATCTCTGGTTGGAGATCCCTCCCTTGTGGTGCTTTTCCCCCACAAGCTCAGATCTTTGCAGATGGGTGAGCATTCATTTCCCGTTTGTCCTTTTGCTATTCCACTCCTGTATTTCTTTCTACTGCGCTAATTTTTCCTGACGGTAACACTACCAAAGTTTATTAAAAAGGTAAAGATTCCAAGATTTGATTTATTAAAAAAAGAGTATCAAAAATTATTTCTGCGTTATTACGTTCTCAATGTGCAAACATAAAATAAAATGTGCATGAGCTACTCTTTCTAATGGTGGTGTCTTCACACTTAGTGCCAAACTCTTCCCTTGAAACTGGTGCACTTTATTTTATACGAATGCGCAGCATTTGAGTTTAGCACCCCAACAGCATTTGTTTTTAAATTCTGTGACAAATTGAAAGCAATTCTTCCCACATACCTAACTGAGTTCCAAGGCACCAAATATCACTATGCTTGCAGCAAGTTTTGTTGTTCCATCTGTTGAGTGTTTGTTATATCTCAATGGTCCTGTCCAACAATTTTGGGCCTTGAGTTGCTGTTAAAATCTCAAAAAGTTCCAACACACTTGTAAGTTCTTTTCAATGTTTTACACTTCTCCAGACATTTCCGAACAAAGCCAGGCAACTCATTCCTTAGGTTAAATAATTATTTTGCTTTATTACCTTATAGTACTTTCAGGCCCTGCAGGGTTGAAAAGTTCCTGCTTAAATCAAAATCAGGCTTCCTGCCGAGTTCTTTAGAGACAAGATTGGACTAGTGAGTCATTAGAAGACAGAACCTTAAAAACCCAGACCTGAAAAGAACAATTAGTTCTTTGTCATACTGTAACACTCAACAGTCTAAAAGAGATTAGGCTCTTACAGGGAGCATCCGCAGAGCCAAATAACTTGGCTGATTTTCTCCAGAATTCCAATTCCCTCATTGTCCAAACAGCACATACAATGGTTTGCTCTCAAGTTCTATTTTAGAACTAATCAGTTAGTACTATCCACGTAAAAATCTGTATGTGCTCCCACTCAGTGCAATCACTAAACCCTGTGGGTGAGACCACACCGGGTGTTGCTGCTTCTTTCTTATGCCACCTCTACACAGCCTTAACAAGCCTTGAATTTTTTCTCACCATAATGCATTGCCAAGGTCATACAACATGCCTTTGGCAGTCTGCCAGAAGAACTCCATTCTGCTGAGTTGTGAGAGGATGTGAAAATTATTTCAGACACTTTGAACTGAAGGTACGTGCAAAAATGATTAATTACGTCTTTGAGAATCAAGTGTGACCCAGATGATGCTTTTACCTCCATTGCACAGTATAAACATACCGTGGCAATGCTTTCCCTATTACGTTCTTATCAGGTTAACTCACTTACAAAGCCAATTGTGGTCTGATCTACCTTTTACTTCACTGAAAGACACAGTAACTTCTCAGCTATCAGTTGTTCTTTGCTTCCTGAGGTGGGAAAAGAGACAACTCCCCAGTCTTATCGCTGAAGCTTTGTCAGTATGTTGAAACATAATCAAGCCCCACAAGGGGGCAAAAAGAAAACGCCTGACTTCCTGGGCTACTGGTCACAACAGTTGCCTATAAGGGAAGAAACTTTCACTTTGATTTTTTTTTTTTAATTAAGTATATTACTCATAAAAACGTTTAGTGAATTGCACCCAATACAGATAGGTATTTTTCTTAAATACAATTTACAGTATCACTTCCTTGGAATGACTGTGAGTATGAAGTGCTTATGAAGAAAACAAATGAACTGAAATTACTGCAGGAAAATTATCATGACTATCATGACTGGAGGTGAAGTATTAGAGACGTGATAAAAAGAAAAAAAATAGAAATAGCAATGTTTGATAAATATTTTTTGAGAACGTAGGTAATTAATTTAGGAATCCTTTGATTCAGCATCAGCAAATCAAGATTATCAAACCTCCTCTCATTTCTATGAGACTTTGAAAACTTTGAGAAATTCAGAATTGCTGAACACTGTAAAAATTGCCCTGCAAACAGAGAAGCAGTACTGGACATCATACTCAAAACACTTCTACTACAAATGAGGCAAAAATGTTTAAGCACTTCTCACTGGGGAGGTGCTCTGTGTTATAAAGGCAAGGTGGCCTCACTTAGGATAAGGTAGAGAAGGAATCAATCATGACTTTGTAGTGAAAATAACTTACTTCTTTTTCCAGAGTCTTATTATAGAAAAGAAGTGATATTCTTTGAATGTCTTCAGATTTAAGCCACTGCCTAGAAAAGAAAAAGAAAACATAAATGACAGAAGAATAAAGTAGTCCCATCTTTTTGTACTACTGAAATGCAGCAAATTAAGAAAATAACTTAGAAGAAAGTTATTGGGCTTTGGAACATATATGATGAATCACACTAAAATTAGAAGAGAATACTACAAATCCTGTCTGCATTTTGATTTCCACTGTAAATGTACTCATGAAACAAAAGTTCAGATGAGCTGTTTTTCTGAGAATCACTGCTAAAGACAACCAAGGGAGAGATTTCCATGATATAATTCTCACAATGACATACCACTCGTGTCCAAAATACTGTAATAATGCAGGGCACAGAAAAAAATGGTGCACAGAGATAAAATTAAACCTTTCACAGATCACTGATATATATGACTTTTACAGAACAGTTTTAGGTTGGAAGGGACCTCTGGAGGCCATCTGGTCCCATCTTCACAAGTTATCTTTTAAAAACATACTTTTACAACAGGTAAGAATGGCAGATAAATTACACTCATTCTAAAAGCAAATGTAAAAAACATTATTAAAGAAAAGTGAACTGTTTTTGTCTTTAACCAGTGTCAGTCTTTGGACCATGACCTGCATGAGCTGCTCTCTAAGGCCTAATCTGGTCTGTACACGTTTGATCACACTAATAGCACTTAGAGCAAATGCTGCCTTGTACTCCCTACAACTAGCTCACATGTTCAAGAGCTCAGTAAAATCATAGTGATCATATATCTTTTAAAGTAGTTGTAGGAATTTCTAGAAAGCTTTAGTAACTCTGCATTTCTGCCCTGCAACTTCAGTTTTTCTTCTGGTAGGAGGAGGCCTTGAGGTCATAGCTCTCTTGTTTTTGTGAAAGAAGGTCAATAATTGACTATGCCTGCCTTTTGAAAAATCTGTTTCACAAACACTCAACAGTGATTTCTCACTTCAGTAAAAAAAAAAAAAAAAGGTTTCAGAATCTTTCACTTTCAGCAAACATGTTCTACCCTTTCACATCCATCTTCCAGACAGACTTCAAATACACCATTTTTTAAGGGACTGAGGGACTGCATGTCCAATTTCCATATCACTAGTGCTATCAGCTATCTTCATAGCAGGCACCAGAAATCAAAGCAAGAGACCTATCCATCCATACTGACAAAACGTTTTATTCTATAGCAAAATCTGTAGGAACAGAAGAAAAATGACATCAACGAAAAGAAGGCGAGCAAGATTTAGAGAAAAGGTTTTGTGGGATTAAAAGCAAGTAAGCAGGCAAGGCATCATCCATAAGATGTGGAAAATAGGATAGCCAACAGAAAGATTCACCAGGTACAGAGGGCAGCACAGACAAGTATAAATGAAGAATAAGCTTAGGAGATGGTGCACAAAGGTAAGGATTTTTTTAGCAGAGTAATAACGGCTGCAAAATCCTGCCTGCTGTCTGACTCCCTGATGAGCATAGAAGTCCCAGATATCTACAGCTACGTGGAGATATGCCATCCAGGAAGTAACACATTTATGTTTGGATTCCCTTGCAGTTCAAGGAACAACAAAGACAGACTCATTAGACAAGGGTGCATGGTTTTAAAGGCCTAGTCTGGTAGACAACATGTTTAAACCATAGCAGCCAGAAAAAGGAAAGAGAATCTTTTTAACATAGTCACCTACTTATCAAATAGCAAAATAATTTTAGTTTAGCTCTCTCTGTAGATATTTATTTAGATTCTGATCCATCTACCACATGTCCAATAAAAGTCCCCTGATCACCAAGGTGGTACAGCCAGAGCTAACCAACTTGTCCTATGCAGGATGCACATCTAATAGCTATGGTACATGGCTGAAAGAGAAAAACTTGGTGTTTCTTATTCCTTCTTCTAAATCTGTACCTTTCTTTACCTAGAATAGTATTGAATAAGAAGGTCCTAACCCTTCTCACATGGCCTTTCAAGGAGCAATGCCAACTAGATCTACTGCTCTCAATCATCCCAAAAGCCCATGACCCTGCTTCTTAGAGATCATGGCTTCATCTGCATTCCAGAAGATGAAATTGAATGCAGAAGTCCTGAGTCACTCTTGATGTGTACATGCAGCACTTGGCAGAGCTGTGCAAAGACATCTGTGTTGCATGAAGCAGCAGGAGAGCAGGCAGTGGTTGAGTCCTCCAAAAACATTACACAGGCACAAATGAAGTGAAATAATTAAAAAAAAAAAAAAAAAAAGTGATTAGTTTCATGTCCAAAATATATATTATGTTTTAATCTACTTTTTTTTTTTTTTCTGATTAAGATTCATGTAGTTAAAATATTATCAAATTAACTTCCTGTTTGGGTAATTAACACTTCCCTATAGTTTATAGTTGTTCTGGAATAACCAATTGAATAACCTGTCTTGAGTGATATATTCCTCCAAGATCAAGGTAAAGAATCTAGTTTTGGAAGGCATCTATGCTGTCTGTGTAATTTGTAAAATCATTCCTTACCCATCCGTAGTTCCCTGCTTAATTCACAAAATGAATTGAAGCTTTTGCAGCAACTTTTGTTTTATCTCTCTTGTTCCTAAGTTTCTCTGAATGTATTCACTAATTAAGTAAGCCACAGATTTTCTGAGAATTCAGTAAGATACATATTCTCTAAGGTAAAAGACCTCTGCAGGTCATCCTGTACAACCCCCCTTCTCAAACAAGGCCACTTAGTGTGGTTTCCCAGGGAGTAATGATAATTTCTCCTAATGTATATGTACAATTGTTGTGGATTAACTCGGCAGGCAGCTAAACATCATGCAGTCATTCACTCATTCCTCCTTCCCAGTGGGATGGGAGGAATAATAACAACAATAATAATAATAATAATAATAATAGTAATAATAACAATAAAATTAGAAATAGTGGGTTGAGACAAAAACTATTTACAGACAGAAAAGGAAAAGAAGATAACAGTAATGACAATAACATAATACACATTTACAAAATAAGTGATACACAACACAATTGTTCACCACCTGCCAAGTGATGCCCAGCCACTCTGGACAGAAGCAGCTGTCCTCCTGGCCAACTCCACTCTGTTTTCTGTTTGTTTTTTTTTCATGTGATGTCATATGGAATATCCTTTTGGACATTTTAGGTCACCTGTCCTGGTTCTGTCCCCTTCCTGCTCCTTGTGCCCCTCAGCTCCCCTCACCAGCAGGACAGTACAAGAAGTTGAAATGTTGACTCCATATAGCACTGCTCAGCAATGACTAAACCATCAGTGTGTTATCAGCACTGTTTTTCTCCCAGTGCCAGAACATAGCATCATACCAGACATTATGAAGAAAAAAAAAAAAAACACACCTCTGTCTCAGCTGAAACCAAGACAACAATATGTTTCTGCCTTTGATATCAAACCATCGTTTTTAGAGCTCACTTAGCTGAGGAAACGTGAAAGCTGTCAAAATTTGCACAGCTGTTTTAAGCAAGTCTGGTATAATCAGAAGTCTTTGTCTATCTGATGACTCCTCTTTCTCTGTATATTTGTATGACCTATAGATAATGACTAAAAAAATATTTTCCTAAAAGTATCTTATAACAGAACTAACAGATGTAAAAAAAAAAAAAAAAAAAAAAAGCAACAAACCAAACACGATATATGAACATTTAATAATTAGGAGTAATACCTAGCTAATTAAGATTCTGAGTAACAGAAATACAGTGATGAATTGCATGTTTTTCTCTATCATTATCCACACTGTTCTAGAGTAATTATCTCATTTCATCAGAGACATAAAAGAAACCTGCACATTTCTTTTGGATTGGTATTGATTTTTCTCTCAGTCTTATCCATTCACCAGCACAGAACATCAATACCACCTCCAGTACTTCCCAGAACACAAAAGCAACACATGCATGTTGCCCCTCCCAGTCATTTCAATGGACCATCAAGCATAGCCTAGTCTAAGAATTCAACCAAGCAACCGAGAGAGGGAGATATTAAACTACGAGTTTAGGGAAAGTTCATAATTCTGAGGAGATGTTTCTGTAACAATTGTGAAGCATTAATTTTCACATCATTCTGATTCTTGAGTCGGTTATTTTTATGTCATATTTCTCTGCTCACAGATGACATAATTCAGTAGAGTAACAGCTATGATTGTGAAGTTAAAGAGACAGAAATACCTTTGTTATGAAAATCAAGGTAAGCCAAAACCTCTGTCATACCACGGTTCACAGGCAATGTCTCATCCCATGTAGTATTAAATGGTACTGTACATCCTTCTTTACAACATGCAGAGCTTTGTGGCCTAGCAGCAGTGCTACATTTACTCATTCAAGAATGCTCTGTGAACATGGGAGGGAGAAATAGTACATGCTACCTGCTATTACAGATTTATGTCAAAGCTGAATCAAGTAGACAACAGAGGATAGAAACATACTTTTGAGCGTTAATTCCATCGATGGCCTGAATCATCCTCTCATTCAGTTCCTCTTCAAATCTTCTTTTCTGAGATTTTGTTCTGGAACGAAAAATGTGAGAAATTAAAATCACTACATTTTGTTAATAAACCTTAAAAATAAACATTTATGTAATATGTGGTCAACATTTATGTTGCAGAAGCTTCTACAGGCTTCACACACTGAGCCTCCTAAGCTCTTGACAAAAAAAGTCTGCTCCACTTCTCCCTCTATCAATCAATCAACCAACATTTGGGAGCACTTAAAAAGAACACCAAACTTCTTTAAGAAACGATAGGAGATAAAATTTGAGAGAAAGCCCTCCTCAGTGGCATGAATTTAATAAAAAACAACAGAAACATGCTCCAATTCAGAAAACATTTATTGCAACCATTTTTAAATATCCTTGTCAGAACTGTATGATGACTAATAGTGTGTTAGTGTATAATAAACATTTCCTACAGAAAGCCTGCTTACTCTTCTTGTCTTGGAAATACTTCATTTTTAGTAAGTATGAACATCAAGACTGAAATGTTTTAAGCATGTGCCTTGTTCCTCTTTTTATAACATAGAACATAACTGCAATGAAAAAATAGTCTTATTTTCACTGCACTCATCATAAACCCAGCAGAGGGTTTGCCTTTGATAAGTACAAACATCACCAGTTCTTTCAGCAACAGCACTCTCCTTACAGCCATTATATTTCAAGTATTGCTAGATTATATCTCTGTGCCTTGAAAACTTAAAATTTTATGTTAACTTAATAACACACTTTAACCATTCAGATCTGAAATTTGACTTCTAGCTTATCAGAATTTCCCTAACCTACAAATCCGAAACTTTCAAAGGTACAACGGAACAACTTCTACATCAAGCTTTTGGGTTATTTTCCAATAAACAGTAACTTGTTGCAGGATTCACACGCATCGAGAAACTAACATTCATATATTTTCAGTAGCTTTGAACAACTCAACTGTTTTCATGCCTACTCAATGCTGCAGAGATATGGTCAAAGCTCGTTCAACTTCTGAAATTTAGGAATACTTCATGTATTTGCACTGTTCCTCAGTAACCTCTATTTTGATTAATGAGATATTTACCATGTAGGGAGATCACAGAATCATAGAATGGCCTGGGTTGAAAAAGACCACAAAAATCATCTAGTTTCAACCCCCCTGCTATGTGCAGGGTCACCAACCACCAAACCAGGCTGCCCAGAGCCGCATCCAGCCTGGCCTTGAATGCACGCAGGGATGGGGCATCCACAACCTCCCTGGGCAACCCTGCTCACGATGGGGAAGGAGTAGATAGAATGACTTGTCTGCATAACCAAAGATAATAACAATAGAAATTTTTCAATGGCTCTTTCAAACTTTCCTATGTATTTGCAATGCTTCTTATAATTTTGAAATGAAGACATTATCTAAAGTCTTATCAGGTCATTTAAATAAAAATGAAAGATTTCAGCATTCAGCATTTTTTTTGAGAAAGTGATCTTTGCTCAGTGTTGGCCTAGTCACTGAAACAACAAGCAGGGGAATAAAAAAATTGATGTGATTTTGCAAATATTTTGCATAGCAAAAGTACTACAGAAGGTCCACAGAATACTACTGCAAACACTATAAACACTATAAACTTTGAAATAATAAACAATGCAAATACAAAGCAATTCACAAAATATGCTTTTCAGTCCATATTATTAACTGTTATAACACAATTTACTAAAAACCCTTTGCAACTTCTGTTTTCTTCCCCACTCTATCTCCTCTCTCAATTTTCCTGTACACCACTTTCTGCACAAAGAACAAGCGAGATGAAGCAGAAGTAAACAGGAGCCACTAACATAATAATTCTGAATAATGCTTATTTGTTAGAAGGAAGTATATTCACAATTCTTAAATATCTGCAAAATCTGTTTTCATAGCTCTTTCTATCTGTGAGGCATCAGTTCAAAAAGTAATCTGAATAAGAAATTGCTCTCTCTTGAAAGTATGTTTTATACCTATAAAAATGCAAATATACATACATATATATATATACAGATATATATATACACATATATATACACATATATATACATATGTACATACATATATACATACATATATATACATATATATACATATATGTATATATGTATATGGAATTTATGTGAATAATTGATTTTTTTTAAAAAACCAATTTACCTCTCTCTGCAACGCTGAAAATGATACTGCCCCATGGGAACATCCTAATAAAAGACAAAAGAAAATACCTCTTAACTATAATACACTTTGACAACATAATTAATGTGAATTCACTTTAAAATCAGTGTTGAAAACAGGGTCAAGTAAGGAAAATTTTTTCCAATACAAATACTTTTAGCATTAGATTAAAACTCTCAAAAGAAAAATCCAGCCAATGGTGAAAATGGAATGATCCAGACACAAAATGATCCATCATAATAAGCAATAAATTAGCAATACAACCACCAGAATCCAAAAATGTTTTTCTTTACTAGAAAGTTACTGCTTCAAAGTAACCGTTATATATTACTGTTGTAATACAGCCCAAACTCCTGCCAGCTTTAGGAAAAAAATAATATTAAGTGTTCTTGAAAAAACAGACCTGAGTGGCCAAGTACGGGCTATGGACATTATTATTATTGATGAGGAATAGCAGCCATCAAAACTACCTTTATTTTGTGATTAATAGTGACAGTTGGGTACTTTCTATAATGAACATGTCACAGTTCACATTCTGATGCACTGTATTTATTGAACAAGATTGGTTAGGTGGCTCAGTCTTATGATCTCATATATAATGGAAACAGGAGTGAACGCTAATGTTCAAAACACTTAGAATTTATCTCTAACTGCGCTTTTTAGAAGTAGAATAATGTGACGTGCAAGATAGAAACTGTCTTACTGACAGCAATAAGATAGTGATGATAAAATTAAAAAGAAATATTTTCTGCTCAGTGTTGGAGATGTGACATACAGTAGCATTGTGATACTCAGGCTCTTAGCTTCAGTTTACAGTTTGGTTAGTGCACCTTCAACTGGTTGATGTTACAGCATGCATCGATTTGGTTCCCAGAGATTAGGTTCTTAAAAGGTCCAGTCCAGGTACACAGGAATATTCTAATTTCATAGCATTTGCTCTACATTTGGCCACATCCCAAATGCAATATGTTGCTAAATAATCATTAAATTTCAGGAATTGTCTCTGCATGAAAAGTACTTCTTCCTAAAGGTATTGCAATCTGGCTTCACATTCAGAATCTGTTTCCACATTGTGAACAGCAGCCATTCGACATGCTGTGACTGTGGCACAAGCTCAGAGGGCAAAATCATGCATTTTGTTAAGTACACTTCAGTTCTTGCGATTCAGACATGCACTACAAGGAAAATACAGCTTCTCAAAATCTAATCCAAAACTCATAACCCAATGGAAAATCTCCTAGAAACTTCCTTGTGCTTTTGCCCAGTACAAATGCATGTACTTTTCCATCAGAAATAACCAGGTATTTAGCAGTGAGCACCTTTTTTTCTTTCAAATACTGCTAAATTGTACAAAATGACATAAGTAGGCCCCTACTGTTGTGCTAATCTTGCCGTTTTCAGTGGTCATGCTGTCCCTGTGGTGCAAGTGTGCAAATGGCTTGGCTGCTCCCCAAGATTCCAGGTACCGGGTCATGCGGACAGAAGCTCTCATTTTGGCTCCATCAAGAGTATGTCGAGGTCTAATGTGGTGCTGAGGACTTCGCTTCTCTCCCTGGTTGACAGAAAATAAAAAATGATATCACACTCAGCGTTCATTACCTTCAGAAGCATGAATGCATCATCTGCTACCACTTATCTGCATGCTTAGGAACTTGAAAATGGAGAGAAGCTAAGAATCCACAATTCATAATGATATTGCTGGGAAATATCAGAGACTTATTTCTGAAGAGCGGGAAAGATTGGCAATGCAAACATGCATTTGAAGAAATCAGTAATAGCTCTGACCAATATATTATGGCAGTAAATTATTCAATAAACAGATTAGTGGTCCTGCTCAAAAATAACTAGGACTGCCCACAAAACAGAAGCACTACTAACCTTAGGATTGATTACAAAGTAAGTCTTAACATTATGCTCTTTCAGATATGGGTCCCTCACATCTCCATCCCCATCTTCCACTTTGTAAGCTCCATTCAAATGTGCCAAGGTGACTGAAGTGATGTGAACACGGCTGAAATTATATTTTAAAAGAATGACAGAATCACGAACACTGATCAAGAGTATAACTGGAAGCTGATCAACCTCTTTTTTACTAGCTTTCTGAAATACTTTCGATGCACTGCTCACTTCATTTGCAATCTCTGTAATCTCATTTTCAGAAGTTCTAATAGACATAAATCTAATGGTTTCCACTGACAAAAATACTCCTTAAATCACAGGAAATGCTACGTATCCATTTCTTTAAAGACAACACTAAGAATTATTCTAGGATTCTTCATGAGGCTTGATGACCAAAGACACGGTACCTGCATGTGTCCCCGCAGAACAAAGACTCGTGTGTACAAAGGCTAACAGAGAAGCCTCTTACCCTGGGACCCCTCCAGCTTCCATGTGATTTGCCAGAGTGACATCGTGAGACCACACATCGTACTGCCACTTCTGTAGCCCAATAACTCCACAGAGTACATTTCCAGAGTGCACTCCTACACGCATATTAATATCGACTCCAGTTGCATCTCTCACTTTCCTGTAGTTGAGAAGAAACCTGTGTTAATATACATAACAAAGCCTTTGCTTTCTTTTAATTTGACACACAAATTAACAGGAACAGTGGTGACACCATCTATTTCTTCTTAGCATTGGCTCCATCTTTCCTGTGATAGGATTTTTTTTAAATATATATTATCTGCATTTACAAATATTTGCACCAAACATTCATTACCAAATCTAAAGCTGTTTCTCCTATATCCATTTGAAATTATTTGGTAGAACTGAACTAGGTAGTGGACAAGTTCAGTCTTACAGTAGAACCTCAGAAATGTTCTCCTAAAGGCCTTTGATTTGGTTTTTAATGCAGCAACAATCTAATGAAGATTTTGGAGAGCTGGAATTACTGTTACATTAGCTTCCAGCTGAAGACCCTATTATCTAGGGTAGGGACAGCCTTTCTCACATCTGTCCTCTATCAGGTCCCAATATACTTGAGTGCCTTCTTGCAAATGGTTTTCCAGCAAGAAGGATGAAAAATGCAGTACCTCAGGTTTCTATACAAGCAGCAGCTCATAGAGTTTTTACAGATATGGGCTCAGTGTCATTCAGGCTATGAAGAATATAGGCTCAACAGTCTTTCACATGCTTGTTAGTGCCCTACCCAATAGCTTGTTATGCAGAAGGTGAGAGGCCACCCTCACTAAGGATACCAGATCTAAAGCTTCGAACTTTCCAGTGAGAGAGCTGAGGTATCTTCATCCAAAATCACGGAACAGCCCTACACATAAGATAGGTATTAATCTTTTCAGAAGAGGTGCACCTGACTCACAGGTGGGTGACTAAAGCCAAACAGCTAGAACATTTTCATTTGTCATATGGGTATCTAACTATATATTTAGTGAGCTATCTAACTAATTCATATGTCTGCAGATGCAGTTCTAAGAAACTGGAAGATCATGTTACTCTAAATTGGATTTATGAATTTAAACCCCAGCTCATGCTGACCAAATTGTAGCCAATAAAGAACATGTAGCATTCATCCTGGGAGAATTCTGTGTTGACGGAACCAACAGCAAATAATAAATCCAAATGGTTTCTTGCATATGGGTCAGATTCAAAGTTCTAGCAACATCCTTCAGTCTCAATGACGACACCCATTAGCTCTATGCCTCTGGAATTACAGAATTAAACTAGCCTCTTCTTCCTCTTTATTGAAAGGGGATGTAGAACTTAACAGTCTCATTTTGTCAAGGCAAATGACACTTCTAATCACTCAAAGTACTCTTCTGCTGGAAAATGAAAATAACAGAAATATTCATGTTGGACATTAGGAAAAAAAATTCTTCCCAGAAAGAGCAGTGAGGTATTAGCACAGGCTGCCCAGGGAGGTGGTGGAGTCACCATCCCTGAAGGCATTCAAGAAACAGAGACATGGCACTGAGGGATATGGTTTAGTGGACATGGAGGTTATGGGCTGATGGCTGTGCTGGATGATCTTAGCAGTCTTCCCAACATTAATGATTCTATGATTTTATGAAGTATGCTGTTAAGCTGGGTTTTGAAATTATTGAAAATGGAAAACTTTTTTTTAATCTCTTTAATCTCTAGCAAGTTTTATTAATGTCTCATTTCACTTTTCTATTTTACTCAGCTCTCCTGTAGCTGACACACTTGAAATTGGACTGCTTGTAAATAACCTTTTCAAGCAGTCCACAAATGACAAACACAGCATTGCTCTGCACAAGCAATATGATGAAATACAAGCTTAACACTCCAGATAAAATGTGTTTTACAAATCTGGTCTCTGCAGAGGAGGAACATTTATCCTTCAGGAGAGCTTTCCTAGAGGCTGCCCTGCCATATTCTGCAGAGGACATCACAAAGTCTGCAGTAAAATAAGCTCTCATGAATTAAGAAAGGGAACTTCCAAATTGGTACAACAGCCTCATCCAATACTTTCTTTCACTTTCAGCCCTCTAAAATGGAACTCATTTCACACTATCAAATCAAAGCCAGCCTTTGAGAATTTGCAACAGAGACTAATATAAATTACAGTCACCAGACAGACAAGAGGGTGGAGTACAGCAGAAGGAAGACAACACATACGTTCAACATATTTTGTCCAAAATATATCATATTACACACTTCCAAAAGCAAGAGTACTACTATCACTACAACTTCTTGTTCTAGAGGCCACTGTGCTGAAATGGCTGCCGTACTTGACATAATATTTTGAAAGCATCTTAAAACATAGGGTACTGACTCCGCATATCTTAAGACTGATGCAACTAGCCTGTGATAATCCAGGCACCAAGTCCACAACCACTGTCAATTAGGACTACAGCAATTAAGTTAGATCAGAATGTGCTACGTAACTGAAATATAATTTTTGAGACTATAAACCTGAACTTACAAAGACCCGATCAAGGAGCACTAGCAGTGTCCATGTCTGTGAGCAGCTTGAGAAGAACATCATTTTTAAAAGAAATTGGAATTATGAAATGTGATGAACTGAAAGACTGCTCTCTGAGTTCAAGTAGAGTATTGCTTTGTGACATGCAAAATTATACTGCTAGTTCTTTGGGAAGGACAGCCATGGCTTTGTATTGTTTTTCTATTTGCCTGTAACCTTCTGCATTTTTTTCTTCAAAAGTAGAAAAGGAACAGAAATTCCAAGTGAATGCTTTAACACACATCTATCACACAGCACCTGGATCTTTTTAGATTCAAACTAAAAAGCTCTCATTTTCAATGAAAGTTTTGGAAAAAGAGAAAAATAAGATATAGTAAAAATGCCAAAACAATGACTGCAGTGTCAGAATTTAGGGACAGACTCTTTTTTAACTCTAGTGAAGGGATGTCAGCTTTAATTCCTAATATGCTAGAGAAGGATTTAATTATAATAATGCTGCTCTTCGTATCTAAATAAAAAAGAGAGAACATCCAATGAAAGCAACAGAGGAAAAAATCCAATCTGCAGTTTTAATGCTAGCCAAGTGAAAGTACTGAAAGTGCCATAAAAATACATATCTTCGGACACAGTGTAAGGTACAACCATAACTGGATGAAGAAAAATAATTTTAGAAAATGCAGCAACCTAATTTCTTTCCTTTACTGAAGCTATTTTCGCAAAAGATCTCTAAAGCAAGGAGAGGTACATCCTTGTTTAAAGAGATACCACACCATTTCAGTGAAAAACTGAGAGAAAAAAAATCAATTTCAATTAACCAACAAATTCATACAGTAATTCTACTGCACTGAATCACAAGACTAGGTAACTGAAAAAAAAACAAAAACCACTATAAGCAGAAACACATGCAGTACATAAGCATCAGAGGAATCATTTTTGTAGGCCTGTTTAGTTAATCACTGAGGTAACAATCAATGTATCCACATGACATTTTTTCAAAATGAAGGTCACCAAGATATACTATAATTTTAATCAAAGGAAACCACTTTCCAGTTGAAAAATATTTTTGCCATTAATAAATTTGCTATAAGCAAGCACTTACAGTATTTTAACTCCTAACAGATAAAAACTTCAGGTATGAATTATACACAGTGAACTATCTCAATCTGGTTTTAAAATAAAAGTGGAAGTTTTTTTATTGTCTTTTTCTCTCAAAAGGTTTTCTAAATAAGACAGCAGAATCAGAACCTTGCTTAGCAAATAACCTGTAATACACAGATCTGAAGTTTTTGGATTGGCAGACGTAGGACCCTTCAGGATGATGTGCAGTCATCCAAAGTTTAAGTACCTTCATGCTGAAATGTGTCCTATTTCAGTGGCAGAATTCATCAAAGGCAGGTAGCTTACATGAGAATTATTTCTAGGCTGCACTGAGTTGAGGTACCAGCCAGGAGAGATACAGGGGAGTAAAGCTGTCCTCTTGCATGACATCTCTGGAGTCCCATTATCTTCAGAACTGCCTATACTCTGTTCTCAACCTATACCTCAGTAGTAAGCTAAAGTATTCCTCAAACATGTCTGAAGCAAATGATCTACAGTGGTGACCCAACAGCTATAAACATTTTTCCTATTTCACAATCAAGCCTCTTGTAGTTATTTGAGTTACTTGAAATAAGTTGCAACTGCTATTTCAAAAGAAATCACATTATGATTCTCACATACTTTGTTTCAAGACAGAACAAGTGCAACAATTATGGGAAAGAAGGGACAACGATAGCAGCCCACAAATCCAAAGTACTGTTGAAAAGGGCGGAATTCTAAACGGTGTCTCAATGCATTAACAGAAAAAATATATATATAGAAAGTCTTCTCCTAAAAAAATTAATTACAGAAAAGTTGAAGTCTACTAAGACATGCACATCTTATTGCTCATACAACAAAATGGAAGGTATACTTCCCAGCCGAAGGCCCACAAACTTGTTAAAGATGTTTTCAGTATACATGTTCAATATCACCGCAGGCTAAGTGCTCCAGGCATCTTAATAACACTTTCTTCTGTAGAGTGGCAACCACTCCTGATCAGCACAACTCCAAGCTTATAAATCAAGAGCTCAGGCCTTGAACAAAGCCATTTGACTAACAAGTGGGTGGCAGCATCACAACTGTGAAAAGCAGGTCTTCCCAAATAAGTGATATTTACCACCTTATCATGACAGAATCACAGACTAGTTGAGATCAGAAAGAACCTCTGGAGACTGTCTAGTCCAAACCCTGCTCAAAACAAGTCCAATTAGAGCAGGCTGCTCAGGGCTGTACCAGCTGGGTTTCAATTATTTTTCCCATAAAGGAATCTCCACAATCTCTCTGGGCAACCTGTGGTAGTGCACAGCCACCTGCAAATTAACTTAGTATTTCCAGAGGTTCAGAAGGAACCTCTTGTGTTACAGTTTGTGCCCACTGCCTCTTTTTTGGACATTGGGTGCCAATGAAAAAGCCTGATCTATTTCCTTTATATATCTTCCCTTCAAGCCCTTAAGTGTTTTGATAACTTCCCTCTGAGCCTTCACTTCTAAGAACGATCAGCCTCAGCTCTCTCAGTCTCTCCTCATGAGAGATGCTCCAATTTCTTAATCATCTTTGTAGAGTAGTGACAGAATAGACTGGCATAACCCAACATTTTTCTTTGCTGAGGCCAAGACCAACATTATCATGTTAGACCTTGTACTGAAACATGCCAACCACGACAGGTCTGAATGTTTCAACCAGCAGCTACAGGTAGAGGGAGACAGAATATTGTTCATCTAATAAAACCACAACGCTTACTTAATGGCTTCACACATGTCCAGTCCCATTTTCACACAATTCTTGGCATGATTTTGAAGAGAAATAGGTAGTCCAGAAACACAGTAATAGCAGTCACCTAGGATTTTAATTCTCATACATTCATTTTCCTGGAGGAAAAGAAAAATCGGATGATCACTTTCAACTTGATTTACACAAACTGAGTGTTACCGCTGAAAAGACTGACTTAAATGATATTATCAGAACTGCTTAAGCCCATTTTAATAGAAAAGGATTTGTCTTGCTAAAAAAAAAAAAAAAAAAAAAAAAAAAAAAAAAGCACTGTCAGAGTTCTGTAGCAGTGATTCCTCCATTTTTTATGGTCTTTAATGGATTAAACCAGAAAGAAAATCCACAGCAAAATACACATTACACATTAGATTGAGGAACTGAGGTGAAGCACCATATACTATCTATCTATATATATACGCTTTATATAAACTACTTTATTTGAAATAGAAAATCAAATCATGAAATACCTGCTGGAACCAGCCATCATAATCTTATTTTAATCTTTTATACTCTTTAAGGCTGTTTTTGTTTTTGTTTTCTTTTAATAATCAAAGTTGGACATTAGTTTTCAAATTCATTAAAAAATTTTGTCTGTTTTAGCACAACAGTCAAACACAGAATCAAGTTTGATGTAATGTTTATATTCAAATCTTTTCTTGAGTAATCAAGAGGCTACGGTCAGTAATTACAATTACTTTGATCAATATTGTCTCTCCTGTTGTCCAGTCTCTTAAAAGCTTTTCCATAGGAAACTGATGCAAACATTTTTCTATCTTGAGTTCTTTAATCTTCATAATGGTCAAAATGCTATTTAAAATGCTGTTCGTCATCCAATTAAGCTTTCTAGAGCTCCAGGATCTGTTTATATTGGCCCTATCAGAGCAAGCTTTCTTGGCTTTCACAGATTGTCTCAGAGGAAGAAACACACTGCTCTAAGGTCAGGGCCAGATTTTACTTCATGTAGTTCAAGACTAATCTTCCTGTAAAAGCCCAAAAAATGCTTTTTCTCAGAGAAAGAAGAGCACTCAAGATGAACAAATATTTAAAGATGACTTGGATTTAAATTAATAATTGAATTAAGAATTAAACTGAATATTTAAATTAACAGTAGCAGTCCAGTAGAAACTTACCTTTGCAATTTGATCGAACTTGCCAAACAGCTCATTCAGCATGTGCACCAGCTCCCCTGGTGAGCAGTCACTGGCCAGGCGAGTGAATCCCACAATATCAGCATATAAAATGCTACAGTGGAAACAAACAGAAGCTTCATCATAGTTTTGCAAAACGTGAACTTATCAATGAACAGCAAAAGCTGAAAGTAGGCATTCAGGACTTGGCACTGTCATGCCTGTAATCAAAATGGTCGCTGTTATAAGCAAAGCAAAAAATACGCCTGTATTTATGGCATATCTGCCTTTACTTTTATATACATTACATATGTAGGAGATACATACCTATATTTATTTTAATAGGTATTATCTTCTTACATATGTCTGTACTAATGGGCAATTATAGGCATTCTATATGTATATGTGCTATGCTGTATTCAAAAATAGAAATCTTTTTCTGACTCGCTAGCTCACAATGTAATAATAGAAATAATTTCAATAAACAGGTTTGTTATCAGAATTAATAACTTTTTATCATTTTGGACTTTTTTTTGTCAAGATTTACTATCAGTAATTTACATCATGGAAATCTTCGTTCAGTTAATACTCAGTCTATTAAATTAAAGGTCAACTGTTAAGGTATTCAGATCACACAATGTTTCTTCTCACCAAGAAAAACTGACCAATTCATAGAAATGAAACAATAGTTTTGCTTACAACTGAAAAGGAACCTCCAACATCCTGCAATATTTTCTTAAAAAATGTGGTTTCTGTGACTGTCATTCAATGACCTTCTCAGTCAAAAAAAAAACAAACAAAACACAAGTAAAATCATTTCTAAATACTAAGGAATACTTGAAATAATGGTTAACTTTTTCACTTATCTCAGTGTGTTGCTTTTTTGTGTCTTCAACAAAGAAGTCATATTTTCTTTTTTTTTTTTTTTTAACTTCTAGAAACTCATAATCAATAAGTAATTAGATTTGTCAGCAGAATATTTTATCTTTAGATATTGTGTGAAGTATGCATGTGATACAGCAGTTTCTATTTACATTATTTATAACCTGACAAATTGCTCTAGTTAGGAAAATTACTAATTTGGAGTAATATAAATTACAAACCACAATTTCAACTAGAATAAGCAGTGGTGGGATTTGGTACTTCAAACTGAATAATTAAGATGTTCTGAAGAAAGCCTGTTTATATTTTTACTAAACATCCATCTCCTAAATAAACCTTCTCTGCATTATCACTTTTGCTGTTCTGGAACACAGAGCTGTCAGCATTTAATAAATTAAAATACGCTAGATACTGAACATTAAGTTGTTGAAAAATACATTAAAACAATGATTTTCTTAGTTACTCAGTATTTTCTCTTCTTTTTAACATTGTAATAAATTTTATTCCAGTCCAATACCTTACATTGGTGTGTCGTTTGACATACAAGTTGTGGAAGTTGTTTGTATTTTCCAGCTGACCTGCCTTGGGACCTTGTAACCTCTGAATGATCTCTGCTTTCATTTCCATGGCAATGTGAGCAGGCAGTAAAGAAAGAAGAAGACGCTCCTAAAATTTAAAATGAAACATCCACAATTTCTTCAAGGAGAACAAAATCAGCATGGAAGCAATACTGTGCAAGGCATTGTTTATTATGATGATGCTATAACAGTTCCACGAAGCTTACATTTGCCTGATACAGCCTCCAAAATCAGTCTGTTGAAGAATTTGACAGAATATACACATATTTATAAGTACTATCGATTTTTCTTAGGTGCACTTTTTACGTCTATTCATACTTTCAGCAAGTTTTAGACTAAAAAGATAAACTCAGATGCAGAACACAGAAAATGTTTGACTTTTCCATATAAATACAGAATTATCTACTTTGATACATATTCTCCCCTTATTTAGGCATTTTCCAAACTGAAATTTTGAGAAAATATTCTAAAGAATTTGAAAATATTCTAAAGCAAAAAAGAAATAAGCTATTAAAAAAAAAAAAAAAAAACACATTTTTTCCCAATCTTTTCTTGGTATTACACTTAACAATCTTCTCCTTTGGAAGCTCTGTTACCTAAGTACATTTTAATTTTGCCTGCTTTACCCATGACAGCTTTTCATTGATTTTCTATTTCAACTGCAAACTGAACTAAACCAGAGAATGGCTAGAACTCTGCAAAAAACAAACAAACAAACAAACAATTTCAGCTTTGATCATACTCCACCTCCAAACTGTACTTCCCATGGGAATTCTCTATTTTCTGATAGGGCATTGGGAGAGGCTTAAACTCATTAAGTACAAAAAACAGAAAACTGAACAAATGTTGAGTGAGATGGCCCCTGTAAAAGCCCATGATGGAATTAGAGAGAAAAAGAGCTGTGCTAGAAAAGAGGACAACCTCAAAATGTGCAAGTTCTGCAAGTATTATTCATAGTGATGATTCTGTGGTTCACAACATACAATTTTGTGGTGTTTGCAGTCCTACCCAAGGGAACCAGGAGCAGTGTAACTACAATGTAACTGCATGATTGCTTCAACTCAGGCCATTCCATGATTCCATGAAATAGTAAGACAAGTCACGAGGTAAATCATCAAAGCAAACATACATCTCTAGTCTGACTAGAGGAAGCAAGAAGTAAGTAAAAGACATACTATACATACTATGTACTGTTTCCTATTGGCATGCCAGAAACAGAAGTTTTTAAGAAAGCAACAGAAAAAGGCTTCGCAGGAAGTAGAATAAAGCCAACTACAAGCCAGCAAGTCTTAAGAGGAAAAGGAAAACAACGTTGTCACTTTGTAGGAGACAGGAGGAAAGTTGGGACATTTCCCATCTTCTTCTTTCTATTCCAGACCACTATCTCATTCTGCACCATTATCCTGATGAAACTGTTCATCACATCAGAGCTCTCCTCCAAAAGAAAATTTTCCTTCCACTTTTTCAATGGTACAAAATAAATGTTATTGCCAATCACACACAGTGAGTGCAGTCCAACTAACCTCTTGTCTGACAATGCATTATCAAGTGACAAATTATGTTGCATGTAGATTATTAGTTTTGGTTTCTTTCAACTGAAAGACAACTACTAAAGAAGCTGAATCTTAACTACTTCAGAAGACAGTAGCTGGGCTAGTGAGCTAGCCAAATACAAAATGGTTCAAAATGCACGGTCATCTCTTATTTCTGCTAAACGATCATTAGGAAACCTCTTCTAATCTTGTAATCTCTGATGGCTATAAAGAGTACAGGAGAAGGATCAAAAACAATTACTATTCAAATTGTATCACTGGATGTTGCACACTGAAACTTCTGCAGAGTGGAACCGTGTAAAGAACATGGTCAACCAAGAATGCTGTTTATGATAGCTTTTTATTTGATAATACATTGTGCTATTCTCTCAAAAATAAAATCAACGCTAACTGACAAACTACACAACGACTTTGAGAAAAAAAAAAGTAATTTTTAATGCAGGGCCAGATGAAGCACTTAAAAGCCTTCAGACTAAAAATAACAGCAGTGTACACTTGTGCTGAGAGAGAAACTTCTGTTCTATCACAGTAGTGAAAATCTTCTCAAGAATGTCTTTCACTGAATTGTTACCAACGTAACTTTAGAGCGTGTTTCACGTATACAAGGCTCTTTGAATACCAGTGTTCTCCATGGCTCACCACTCAAATCTCTTCTGAGAGCTTTGAGTTCTAGGACCATAAAACCAAGAACACAATCCATACTGAATTCAACATTTTAATACCTATAAGTACTGAAGGTGTTAAATGCTACGTCCTTTTCTGAACACGTTCATCTGGATCCCTCTACACGGCAAGCAACTAGCCATCACCCCTAGATTGTTTAACTGTGAATTTTCAGTGATATCTAACAAGCTGTTACTCCCAAATTCACATATGCAAGTAGACTTCCTTTTTAGAACTGTCCTTGACTTACACAGATGATTTTGCCCATAATTCCCACCTACACATCACTTACCTAAAGCTTGATAAACCCTTCCTTGAATAAATTAGTGCATCTGCTAAATATCACAGCTCTACATCAGTTTTTGCAAGGTAGCAATTAAATTTGCAATACTTTGCACAATGGAGGTCATGCTGGTCCTAAGCCATCAGCAAGAAAAAATACCCTCAAATACTTGGAACAGTACGTTTTCTTAAGTGCTTATTTCACAAATCAAACTCTTTTTGGCTCAAGGCAATAGGACTTTACCTACTCACTACTATATCATTATGTAAACCACTACTTTTGATTCACTCATTTGTATAAGACTTCATGGCTTTCGACTCTTCACTTAAGTGAAAGTAACTTAAAGAACTTACAGATTTAAAGGCCAAAAAGTAAACAGTTCTCCATCTACTCCAATATCCAGAATAATATAGACAACAGAGCATAACCATGGAGAAACTGAAGTATTCTGATAGGGCTCTCTTTCTCCCTCTCACTCTCTCTGAATATATAAACTACATACATAATATATGTGTGCTTACACTGTATACAGACGATATACGTGTAGATCAATTAAACAGTATAGGGACATTTTTTGTCCTATATATTCCAACATAGATTTTTATCTCTTACAGTGTCATCTGGGGGCACTGAATACTGCTTTATTTTCTGTAGCCTAGATCACGGTATCAAAATGATGTGGCATATGTGACAAGCTAAGTCAGTAAGTCAGCAGTGAGAGCTCTAGAAGAAATAGCCATCCAGCATCACAACGAAGTTTACAAGTAAACAAGGATAAATGCAAAATTTTGGTTGCCCTTGAAATGTATCAAGAAATAAACTACAATAAAGGGAGTCACTGATTTTTTATCACACAATGATGAACCTACCATTTGTCTGATGAAGCCAGGGATCAACAGGATGCTTACTTGGCAAGTTACAGTTTTGTCTTCCTAGCTCCCATGAAGTCTTTCAAGCATACATACTAGGATAAACACCTACAACACATTTCTTTATTAAAGCTGACTCAGACTCCTAACTGGAAAGGGAGATGAAGTTTCACCATGTAGGAGATTGTTCCCTTAAATTCAGTCTGTTAGTAACTTCCACCAGCCTTCCAACCTTTGCACTGAGACCAATACATTGTGTTTTACTCATATGCACTAAAGGACGGTACTTAATCTCAATTATAGAGATATCAAGAGACATGGAATCCATCAATTCCTTAGCCATCTGTTCTACTGCTTGATTAGTTGAACTGGTAAAAATTGTTTAAAATGTGTTCTGTATTTATTTCTTAATCTTGTTCCCATTGCAGCTTTCTCAGATGAACATTACATTTTTTTTCCCCATAAAGAAGCTAAATAATCAGATAACTTCATTTTCTTTTTAACAAGTAAACAGACTTAGGCTCTTAAATCTCTTGCCACTATTTTCTACGGTTTCTTCTCTAAGTCCTCTACAACCTTCAGATGTTTTTTGAAAGTTCCTTCAACACAACTTCTTATGCAGTGTTCCAGTACATCAGTGCATACACCCTGCTATCGCCCTATTCTGCTCAAGACATCCATGACTTACACTACACAACTCTGCTGTAACACTGCTGGAGCTTCCTGTCTGCTGAGGCTACAAAATATTTTTCAAAGTTGCAAACTCCCTGTTTTCTAGCTAAGACTTGCACTCATTGCTTTAAGAATGACGACTTTCAAGACAGCTAATAAAAAGGAGCATTAAATCTTTATTCATCAAGTCCCAACGTATTCCATCTCACTGTTTTGACTAGCAACCCAATATTTGGCTTCTCTGCAACAATTATTGCCTGTGATGATTTTTGTACGTATTTCTTAACTCACTAATAAAAAATGCGTAACAGCAAAAAGAATGAGAATTGGTTCTTGCAGAACACTGTCACATACCATGATCTTTCCATACCATACAATGAATCTTTCCATTGACAATTTCCCAGTTAGACTGTTCAAAACCCTTTAGACTGCGCTCTTTTGACGGACAGCAGTAGCAGTGCCTTTTTTTTAATGAACGTATTCAACATCTTTGTATCAAATACGATACTGAAATATACTAATTTTGGAGAGTTATTTAAAACTAACCTTTTTCCCATTAAAAACATTTTTATTTGACTTAATTTCCTGCAAAGTAAAGTATATCCTTCTATTTATTTACAAATACAAAGTTGTCCTAGCTGTCTATTAGTTCATATTGACTTATTATTTTTACTCTTCCTATCTGGCTGCAGTCCATCTCTTCATTTTTTTTTTTTTTTTTTTTTTAATTTAATTTATTTTTTTAATTTTTTTTATTACTTTCAAGTTGTTTTCAGCTTGAAAACAGCAGGAAAGGATTATTCCTATGCATCACAATCTCTGTAATACAGAAGCATTTTTTAGATTTGTAAATTCTGCTTTTCCTGTCACTTGTGGTCAATACAGACTTTCAGCCAAAGGTGATATCCTTTCTGATGACAGTGTTATAAATATGAATCTATACGTTAACAGCCTCCCAAATGGCTCTGTGTTGCTAACAAAATTCAACCATGTTTTTTTCCCCTCCAGTAAAAAAGGATTTTTTAAAAAATTCCTGAGTATGACAATG